ATCATATTAAACCTGTACAATAAAATAAAAAGAATGAAGAGCACATATTTCATTCTGTATAAATGGCACAAGAGATATATGCACGTGTGCGTTGAATTTTATAAGTTTACAGTGTACAATTAGCCTCGATTTTTTAGATTGATTTCCACTAAATCGATTCTTTATCTCTCGAATTTTTGGTGAATCGATAATTACAGTTGCGATTCGGGTCAATTAAAAAAATCGATTCTTTTGCCGAGATCGAATATCCCTAATTCAATTTCTACACGGGATAAGTGTAAAATGTAATAAAATAGACAATATAATAATATGTAATAAAATGGACAATATATAATATTATGAAATTGAATATAATTATTGTAATATGACAAATTAAAATGACAAGAAGTTTGAAACGATAATGTTCACAATTTCATCAGCATTGTACCAATATTGATTAAGTATTATTTATTAAGCGCTTTAAGAACGACAGAATTAATCTCTTCCGAATTATGCAGGGTGAACCAAAGTCATTGAACCAGATTTTACTCTATCAGAAAATTATCGACTGCACGCACGTTGTAATCCAATTAAAGTCGATAATTTTCTCTAATAGAGTAAAAAGTTAGTTCAACTCTGATTCACTCTGTATATACATATATTACGTAACTTTTTGTAATCATCTTGACGATCTACGTAATATATCAATTTGTGCAAATCGTCGATTATATATATATACATAGTCCGAAAAAGAGTATATATTTTTTTTACGATTATTCTGTATCTATAACAATAAATTGAAATTTTAATTGTCTTAGCCCCGAATATTTTTTTATTATAAACTTATTGTATTTTGGTAAACACACAATAATATGTCAGCAATTAATAAAACTGGAATAATTATTGAAATATTACATAATGTTATAACAATATGTATGCAATATTTCTTTAAATATTGCAGCAATTTTTATTTTTCGCACATAGGAATATTGTTATAATATTACAGCAATGTTTTATGAAATATTGTAATCTTTCAAAATAATATTACTGTAAATTTCGTGTTGTAGAGGTTGTATCCAATCAAATCGTGTCTAATCGTATGCAAAGTAACGATAAAAGTAAATATTAAATTTATTAACAACTGTAAATTTATTGCTGTTACCAAAAAAATGTAACTGTTAAATTTGTTACCATTAAACAAATATAACTACGTTATCGTTACAGTTACCAAAAAAAAAAATAACGCAGTTATCAGTAGAGTTAATAAAAAAGTAATTTGTAACTGTAACTTCCTTACAAGTAACGAATTACTTCCATTCCTTGTCAATTACATACTTTTCATTAAGTATTGCCAAATTTTATGATATTTTTTTTATATATATGCATATATGTTGGAAAATAGCTTGATATTAAGGAAAACATTTTTATCATACGAAATTGTTTATGATAAGTTTGGAAAATTATTCATTATATATATTTATTATTTTTAATGTTTCTGTAATGTTTTATATTGTTATAATTATATGTATATTGCATATATATATAAAAAATATATATATATATACATATATATATACATATGTACTTATTTTCTATGTTTGAATATGATTAGTGAAGCATTATTTTATAGATAACTATTTCAATTTCATAAGGGATGAATATAGGCGTAAAAGCATTCATTTGTATAATGTATGTATCGTCATTGATGAGCGCGCTGAAATATTAGCTCTGCGATTAGTTAACTTTAATTGCTATCAATTTGAATACTATTATATTCTCGACATATTAGGATTTTTGTCTTATTAAGTAAAAAATATATTATTAAAATTTTGGTTGCGAATTAAGAAACATGCTGTATAATATGGATCGATAAGATGGATGGATAAGAAAAGTTTTATAATAACTGACTTTGTTTTTACATTCGAATGATTTAAACAATTCATCTTCTAAAGGCGAATCCTTTACGACGGCTTTTGGTATCAACGAGTAACTGCGCTTGCCTTTTCAATGCGTTTCGAGACGGGACTTCGTCCTCGTCCTCCGACAGAGGAGCAGCCGGAGTCGCACAAGATGGAAACCTTGGAAACAATGGTCCACCGCTGTTAACACGCATTGTTCTGCCTTCTACTGAGGTTGTAGCGATCGACAATGTTTCTAACTGAAAGACGAAAGCGAATATTTATGGCCGATCGTGTCAATTTAGGGATTCCTTTGAATTTTCGCTCACATAAATCACGCATAATTTGCAAATTCGAGAGAACCTGTTCGCATGTAATATAATAGTAAAGGAATATTTAAAGAAAGTTGGAAATTTAAAAAGTTGGTTTAGAAAAATTATAAAATTTTTTGTAAAAGTAAATAATTTAGAATAAAAAATATACAGATATTAAATAATCCAACTAATTATATTCGTAAAATGTTCTTAAAATCTCAAAACAATATGAAAGAGTAGTCCAGAATATCCCGAAATATTTACTGATTGTATTATAAGAATAATATTCAAATAATCATTAAAAATTCCATTCACATTGTGTTGTTATATATTTAGATAATGTTGTAAATTTGACATATGTTCTATAAAATTATAATTTTTTCCAAAAATTTCAGAGGTTCAGAGGTTGAAATAATTTTTAAACAAAATTGTACTCCAAAAATACATTTTTAAAATTTTTACCTTTACCGATGGCTCATTGAACAAATGAAATGCTGCGCACTTTAGATTTGTTAATCTTTTTTCAAAGAGTTCTGAATTAATTCTAATCTAGTGCAATAAGTTAAAATGAAACAAACTATATCTATTTTACTAACTTATTACGTTAGTGTATAATGCAATTCAAAACTTGGAGTGGAAAAAGAACAGATTTTTTTATATTCTTTCCTGTATAGAATTTTTATTTATACCAGAGTTGGTAAAAAATTATGTTTCTTGTAAAAAGAACACTATTGTGTTTTTTTTTAAAATATATTAAACATATATTAAATACGTCTTGAATATGTTTCAAATATATAAAGATTATGCGTTTCGCGAGTTTTCTCCGTATCCAGATTCATTCTTGGAATGCCAACGTTTCGTGAACCTTGCAATCCTTCATCAGGACTTCATCAGGACGAGGAGCAATCTGATATAGTATCAAGCTGCTCCTCGCCCTGATGAAGTGGAATGCAAGATTCACGAAACGTTGGCATTCCAAGAATGAATCTGGACATGGAGAAAATCCGCGAAACGCATAATTTTTATATAGAAAGCATCCGTGGAAGCTTCAAGAATATGTTTCAAATAGTACTTTCAAAAACTTGTTTAAAACATTATTAAAATTTCTGATATTTATAGATTATTCTTATTTTAACTGATTTGAAGATCATCTTAAGCAAAGTCTTAGTCCAGATCTATAATTCCATTCGAATGCAAAGAGAATAATTGATTGTGATTCGTCCATTCCTTATGGCTTAAGGCTTAGAAAGGCTTTATTGTAAATCCGGGTTTAAAAATCTTAAGAACTTAAAATGTTAATTCGATATACTCTTCAATTGCGGAGTTTCCAATGTTTCCACCGATCCCTTTGAAAAAAGTGCTTTTGATCAGCCGTTTTATAATATTTCATCGATGATATAATTTGTATTGTAATATACATTGCCAGTAGTAAAAATCTATAGTATACATAACACGCATTACATATTTTCAGTATTTGTCAGTCCAATAATGGCATTCTTTCCAAAACATAAATAATGTTATATTTGATTTATCAATATAAGTCCATGCAGCTGTTGCATCCTTTGGAGACATTGAAAGATTATTTTCCACTTTTGGCTTTGTACATAGTAAAGTACGTAATAGACTTGCAATAAAAAAAACATCAAAATTAGTATCTATAATGAGAAGTTTAAATTCTAATAATTTAGTTTTTGCAAAATAAATTAAAAATAAATGTAAAATATAAGAAATTAGTTTTTAAATCAAGATTTTGATTTTTTTTATTTGAACAGAAACAATATTAAGAATATTACAAACAAAAACATAATTTATGTAATAAATAAAATGTAAATTTTACATATTTGTAATAATATTTATAAGGGATACTATATATATAAACAAAAATAGAGGAAAACCCCCTATTATGAAATAGGCGCCTAATATGAGATAGCAGCGTTTCTGTTAAACTAATAAACGCTATCTATTGATTCCATCATGAATTTATTATTTTTGGATTGAAAACTATTTAGTAGAAAATTCATTATTAGATCATGTCTGTAGTCATTGTAAAACAAGATTTTAGAATTTGAATGTCTTCAAGTTTTATTAAGATGTGCATTTAAATTTTGTTTATTATTTAATAAATAAATATTTGGCAATAAATTCTTCATGTAGTGATAGAGTAAGGTCGTACTAATAGAAAAATACGAGATATATTGAATTGTTTAATTACAGAAGTTAGATTTGATGATCGTAAAATCATAAGGCGTGGAAATCGTAATATGAGATACCCAGGGTATTCCTAATATGAAATAACCTACCCTGTCCTTATGTTATAATGAAAATTGTTGCTAAAGTATAAATGTTATTATACAATAATAAAAAAAACAATCGGAATGAACGTCAAGTGGCTATATCTGCGTGATGTTTGATTCCAATATTTCCAACTACCTGAAAACGAATCTGGATATAATCTATCGCATGCTCATTTTTCGCGCACGTTGGCTGTGTTTGTTTGTATTTTAGAAACATTAAATAAAGTTTTTTAATTGCAATACCGATATACTTTGCGTTTTATTATCGATTTCCTGGAGTATCTCACATTAGGAACACAATTTTTTGACTTTGCGATTTGCTCACTTTTTACATTTCTTTAACTTAAAAAAAAATGGAATTTGAATTAAATTTTATGTAATCTTAAACGTTATCTTAAAGCTTATTAAATTCCCTTCAAAATGATCTATTATTTTTTAAAATTCTGTCTATAGACTTTCTAGCATTTATTCCAAATGAACTCGGTATCTTATAATAGGAGCCTATCCTCTAAATATATAGATATTATTTACCTAAAATCTATGTTAAACATTTCCTTGAAAGATGTCTTATATATATTTTCAAAATGATAACAAAATTATTTAAAAAATTATAAATTATTCTAAATCATGTTTAAAAATCATACGACAAATTTGGTGATGATTTACTATCTGGATCATAAGTTATTTTAATAAACTGTACTCTAATAAAAATGTATGGAAATGTATTATAAAATAAATAACAAAAATCTCAATTCTTTAATATAAATATATAATGTAATCAAGATTATTTATGTATAGAGTTACGCGATGCATGAACTAGTTGCCTAGTAAATAAATAAAATATTTATTTGTTCTATATCTTTATAACTAATCTGTAAATCGCAATGAAATTTCGCATAAATTATTTTGAATATTTAGATAAATTATTTAAAACATTTAGATTTTTTATCATTTTTAAAATTTTAATTTTTAATAATAAAAAATAATAACAAATAAAATAAATAAATGACAAAAATGTGTTATTAGATAAAAATGTAATCTTGTTCACACAACTTTCATATGTATATAGTTTACTTGAAGTATAAGTATTAAATTTCCAAATTTAATTTTCTTTGTAGGGATTGTATGTGTGATACATCCTTTAAAAAACATGATTTAATTATTTGTTTTAAACACATTTAAAATTTATTTAAAACATATATATTTGTTTAAAACATATTTTAAGCATTTGTTTTAAATATAAATGTTTTGAACATAACAATCCTCATTTATCAATTAATCTTCTATTTTTATTGGCAGAGATATTGCTGAATGAGTGATATTTACATATAATACATATATTTGTGTACGTAATATTGTATGAATAAATTTGTTCATATAAATATTTCATTAATATTTGAACATACTGTAAACATTCTTTCCTATTCTGAAATATACGACACATTAAGAAATTGAAAATACTAAATTAAACTTTTTATAAAGTTAGCGTTAACTGAAAATATGTATTTTAAATTCTTGTGTCGTGTTCTCTATGTATTTAAATTCTTATTTTCGTTGTGTAAAGAAATATCTTTTAATTACATATATTTTACTACTTTTAAACTAAAGCAGTGATATAATAATAAATACCTATATATACCCATACATAGATCTTTAAAGGACGTTTTATGAGACGTTCTTAATGAAAACGAGTAGTACGTATTTACCGATAAAGAGCCGTGACGGAGATGCGTAAACTTGTAAATAAGAATCACACGGAAAAAAATATAAAAAGCGCAGCATTGTGCTAGTAAAGTGTGAATCTCCAAAATTGAGATCCAAGGTAAAAAATATAAAAATAATATTTTTGACAATTTTTTTAAGAATTAATTCAATTATTTCCGAAATTTCTGAAATTTCTAGGAATTAATATTATAGTTTTGCAAAATATGTATGAAACATTCTCTGAATAACAATGTACAAATGATGCATTTAACAATTATTTGAATATTGCTTTTACATTTTGTAAGTATTTCAGAACGTTCCGGATTATTCTCGAAATCTTATTTTATTATTTTAAGAACATTTTGTTATTTTAGAAACGAATGTTTTAGAAATATTCAGTTAGCTGCGACTTCAAACCGATGTGAACCTGGCGCTCAACTTTATCAAAAATAAAAATTAATACTGCAGGCCGTTTGTACTTCGTTTCTACTTGTTTATATAGTATCTCCGAACTCTTTGAGGTAAACGGAAGTAAGAGAGATACAAACGGGTACGAATGATTCTCTTTCGAATGCCGTTGGTCCCATTTCGATATCTTTAAAAATGACCGACTTATCCTCTTGATGCATTTATTGATGCAATTTTGAAATCGCTGTATCTCCAAATCCTTTGAGGTACAAACGAAAGTAAGAGGGATACAAACGGGTACAAACGAATCTCTTTCGAATGCCGTTGGTCCTATTTCGATATCTTTAAAATTGGCTAAGTTTGCTATATAGAAGTTGCGCAAAAACTGAAACGCGCTGTACCTCCGAACCCTTTGAGGTACAAACGAAAGTAAGAGGGGTATAAACGATTCTCTTTCGAATGGCATAAATGAAATTAAAAAATCTTAAAGTTGCGCGCTGGCCATTTTTTATTTTTCACTTTTTGTTTAACTGTTTGAGGTACAAACGAAATAATGATCGGTACAAACAAGTACAAACGAAGTACAAACGGCCTGCAGTATTAATTTTTATTTTTGATAAAGTTGAGCGCCAGGTTCACATCGGTCGACTTCAAGAACTCTTTTTTAGAGATAATTGAAACTAACCTTGTCTAGTAAGGCTTCATCCATTGTTTCAAGATATTTGTCGGATGCATTTAAAACGTCCATGCCATGTTTGACTTTATTACTTAATAATTCGATAACTGCTAAAGTATCGTCCATTTTAATATTCTCAAGGAGAGGAGTATCTGTAACATGCTATAAATGTTTTTGTAAATGTCGAAATATTATATTAATAAAATCAAAGAAAGAAAAAGATGTATCTCAAAGACCGTCTAAAGGGAGTAATATAGTAACTTGTAGGTATAGTAACTTGTAAGTCGTAATAATAAGAAATCAAACAATCGCAATTGAATGTGAAAAAAATAATCGATTATGATTGGTCAATTTCTTATAACTTACAGTTTACTACACAGTATTATTCCCATTCACTCTCATTGTAAAACAGCCTATGAAAGTATTAAAAAAGTTAAATGTTATAAGATATCTTGTAAAAAATTATTAAAGTTAACAGTTTTTTTATTTGTTAAAACTAGAATACTATCATCCAGTTTTTCTTAAATCTATCTTATTATAAAATCATTAACAAATAAATTTTTTAATAAACAAATCAACAGTTAATTTCAAACCATAATCAATAATCCAATAATAAATTCTATTTCTAACTATTCCTAAGAAACAATTTTCCTCTATTAAAAAAGAAGTATTTTAATTTTTCTGCAGTAAGGAAAATAAAATTTTTATATTTTATAAACACTTGAAAATTATCTTCTTTTACTATTTTTTAAAGTATTAATAATAATAGAGAAAACATTATCCAAAGTTTCAATAAATAAAAAGAAATTAGTTTTTTTAGTAATTTAAAAAAAATAACAAATAACTTTTTAATACAATATTGTATTTTTAAAGAATACCTAATTTTTGTTCAAACCAAATTTTTTTTTTGGTGGTCTTTAGTAATTACGATTTTGTTATATAAATTATACTAGTTTCCGTAATAAATCCATTTCTAAATAGAGAATTTTCATTATATAATTTTTACCAAAGGTAGCCTTGGTGTGAACATACTGAAAGAGTTGGCCGGACAATTTGTATCAGAAATTAACGAGTTTGAGATTCTACGTATATTTCCGATAGAATCAATACTGATTTTTTACGCGGTCGTCTTGTGTTACAAAAATGTTTATTCTCGATCGAACACCGAGGTGTTAATGCGGGCGCTGGTGATGTAGCTCGAGGTGAGAATTACAGAACATGACATATTCAGGAAAATCCATCAACGATACGAGATGAACAACACTAAGAATATCAAGCTTCCAGGAACAATAAATAGTTGAAGATGTTCACCGTAGCTGCATCTAAAGATGGTTTTACTAATTCAATTAGTCGTTTACACGGCACTTCCATTTCGACATTACGAAGCTTTATTCATCAAATATGTTCTCTTGTATGTGATAATTTGTAAGAACACGTTACATGCACACCGCTAAAAGAAAAGCGTTAATTAAGGTTCTTTACTTCGAAAATTGACTATACATTAATAAGTATTTCTTTTAATTTTTTTTATTCAGCTAATTATTGCGCAGCTTTTCAAATTTGATTTATTATTTCTCATTTTTATTTATTATATTCGTCTAGTACTAATAGTATTTTAAATTTAAATCTTAGAATAACCTAAAAAGTTATCAGGTCTTAATGTAATGCTATTTTTTTATCATAACTGAATACTTTTAAAATCATATATATTATCATAAAATTGGTTATGTCATTAATTATTAGAAATGCTATCTTATTTAAAGTGACTTATAGAAATTGTCTATTTTTTTCTGGTTTGAAAAACGGTCAGCGTGGGACCTTTCTAAGCACGGAATCTATCTTGAGTTGTCAGACTCCATCTAGATTCTGTCGTCCACGGACTTATAATTAATAACTCTCACCTGGAACTTCTCACACAGTTTATACAGTATACCAGTTACTTCGTTTAAGAGCTCGCGGATTCGTCGACTTGCATTCTCGGCTTTCTCCCTACGAGATCGCTGTTCATCGATTTGCAAGTTGAGTTTTGCCACTATTTCCGCGTTTCTGAAATGTTTAATGTAATATTACAAATTAATTAAAGCTATAGCGAATTTATAAACTTGTTATCAATTTTTTGCTTCCGAAAAAATTAACTGTTTTTCGTTTCTGAAAATTTCTACTTTGACATTATCCTGTCTCCTCAAATCTATATTTTAAGAGATCAGTTTGACATCATATTAGATGTGGGAAAAAGTTCGTGGCGTTTTTCCCGTTAGATGGCATTAAAAAAACGCCACGAACTTTTTCCCACACCTAATAATTTATGGAATCAGTTTAAAAGCCGATTTTTTAATATAAGTTTGAAACTTTGAAGTAAGCAATTATAATATCAAAAAAATAGATCTTGTAAGCTAAAGTAGATGATATAGATTATAAGTTTGATTCATTCATTGTCAGTTGTAATGATTTCTTTTTAATAAAATTAATTAAATTAATAATATATCCAATTAGCAAACATTTTATAAATTTGTTATTAATTTTTCTTTTCGAAAACTAACTGTTCGGCGCTCTTTGTTTCTGAAAATTTTCTCATCTCTATCTCGGCGTTAAGCTCCTGCCTCCTCTTTTCCAACACCATCTTCTCTTGTTCCGTGGCCGTTCGCATTTTCTGCAGACTCTCTTTGGTCGCCTTCTGACCCAGAAACCGGTTCAGAACTTCCTCGGACCTGGACACTCCGGTAGCGTTCTGAAGCTTGGTGAACGTCTCCTCCAATCGCGCCAGCTCGTCCTTGATCATGTCCTCTTGTACGCGACTTTTCCCACGTGTTTCGAAATCGTCCCGCGGACGGGTATGAAATATCATACGTTCCAATCGTTCCAATTCCATCCTTCGTTCCGCCACGCGCTGCCTGATTACATAGAAATGTCAAATGCCGAATTATATTCGTAATGTGCTAGTCATCAGAAAACATTTTGTGAGATAGTTATTAACTTTTAGGAGGTTTATCAAAACTGAAATCACAGAAAATGCGATTACAGTAGAAAGATGATTTTTTTTTTTTAATGTAAAGCTATTGTAAACCTGTATTCTTTGATAATAGAATCACGTTTTTTGCTGGAATTTGTCTCTTCTATCTCCTCTTTTACCAAAGTCTCTTGAGTGCTGTCTTTTAATTCTATAGCTTCTTCCTTCACTTCCTGCAATTAATCATAGTGTAAAATGAAATGTGCAACATCAAATTTCTGTTACTTTTCACATAAAGCCTTGCCTGTAAACGTTTGATTTCGTTTTCTTGTTGCCTTATGCCATCTTCTAAATTTTTCAAGGAGGAAGCGTAAAGTACTGATTTCTCTTTTAATTCAGAGCAAACAGAACGATATTTCATACGTGCAATATTTGCTTTAATTTGCATCATTCGGATATGCTCCAGCTGTACTTCCAAAGTTTCGATTTTCTGAGCAAGTTGAAAAGTGTATTTATAAAATCAGTGCTTTGAAGCACGTTGCGAATTTAAATCGTATTCATAGTTCGTTCTTTAATTAAGACTATCTTAACTGTAATCTTAAAATGGGCATGTGTCCACAAACCTAATAGCCGATTCAAAACGTCCTTACAACGATGTTAGTGAGTATTAGCGCGCTAACATGCTGCAGTTCACGTTACGCATTCTACAGAATTTTAGAGATTGCGATTTTATCGATAAAAATGCATTAGGAATACAATTTTATCTCAGCTAACGGTATATATTCCTGAAATATTTATGAAAGATTCTGAAAATCTCTCCCCAAAAAAATATTTCCAAGAATATTCCCGAATATTTCGGAATATTTACAGAGTCCTCTACCACTTTACATTTCTACCACTTAATTTTCGCAATAGTTAACAATTTTCGTAACAGATATCAATTATTAAAAATCATCGAATATTGGTTTTCAATAATAAAATTTTACTACTATTATCAACTTTATAAAAAACAACAAGAGACAAAAATTGCTTATTTTCTTTTCATAGAATTCTAAGAATTTTTTCAGTAATTTTTAGTACCATATTTTTTCATGTTGGTAAAAATAATTGCCAATAAGAAAATGCAGTATTAATAAGTTGATAAAAAAATTCTGAAAAAATTCTTAGAATTCTATAAGAAGAAAATAAACATTTTTGTCTCTTGCTTTTTCTGTAAAATTGATAGTACTTGAGTAAAATATTATTGAAAACCAATGTTCGACGATTTTTAGTAATTGATATCTTGTTAACTGTTGAGAAAATTGTAAAATGGTAGATGGCTTTTTGACTTGGTTTAGTTCGTTTTACTCCTGTACGAGAGTTACTTATTAAACACCCCGTATATACATGTATATATATATGGTGTCCTATTTTAAATGACTCAAATTTCTCTTGAATAGTGCATTTTAGAAAAAAGTGTTTCAGACAAAAGTTTTATAACTTCAAGGGGGACATAAGATAATATTATTGATTTGATCTTGGGTGGCGTTGTTAAGATCAGGGAAATCACTTAAAATTTTTTAAATTAAAATTTTTAAAATTTTTTTACATGACATCCATTTTTTATTACATATTCATACAGCTTACCTCGAGAGCTTTTCAAAACACTAAAATAAAATTTTTTCATTAAATACTTTGTGAGTTATAGGGCTCGAAAGTTAAAGTACTGTCGGCATTAACATTACCCAAAGTATCCGACCTTTTAATCTCTTTCGGATAATGGCTACATTAGCGCTTAATGATTCTTTAATATATATGATTGGTTTCTACAATTAGATCCAGCAAAGAGTTAAATTTTACTATAATTGTAAAACTGTTTTTTCTGCTGAATGTAGCCAATGTTTCGTTCAGCAGAGAAAACTAATCAGTTAGCCGCGCTTAATAATTCTTTAATATGATTGGTCTTGCTCTTAGCTTCTTATTGGATTTAAATATATAAATCAATCATATTCAAGAATTTTTCAACAGTTGCAAAGTTGCTTTTTCTGCTAATCATTCTTTACAGAACTACAGACAATTGCCAGTTCATACTTGTACGGTCTATAAACAATTTAAAAATTACAGCTGTCGTTGCTCACGCCACCTAACAAATCTCTTAAAGGATACATCGATCGCAGAATCGCATTAGAATCTTAAGATATAATTATTAAGGCTTAAGACGGTCTTAAAATAAAAATAAAAATGAACTATGTGAATACCGGCCTTAGATTAAATTACCTTCTTCATAGGATTTTCCATTTTCTTTTTGAATGCACAATGATAGCGTCTATGCGCCAATACCTTGCTTTCCGTTTGCAAAATATTCAAAGTATGTTCGTGCTAATAGAATTAATACATTTAACGTCTGTCATATCTCGAGACAATATACACGTATATATTTACTCACCTTTTCTTTTTCATATTTAACTAGATCTAATTTCTTCCTTAGACGTACGTTATTTTCATTTGCTGTGGTTATAATCTCTTCCAAATTACCTTTGTTCACACAAGCTATAGAATCACGAGTAAGTAGAGCCGCGTATTCCATCGCTTCTTTATTCTAGAAAATATTTAATATTAGTTTATAAAAGGTAATCAATTGTTATATTTTTTTCTTTAGATAATCCACGATACATTTTTCGCTCCCGCATATTTCACATAAAGTTCTTTGACTTTTTTCTTGAGAACAGAAATTTTTTGAGCATTTTCACGTTTTTTTGCATCGTATTCCTCAAAATTAGCCTTTCTTTGACCCTCTGAAAAAAATATTAAATCGTCTGTTATGTTTTTTGAAAAATAAAAGAATTGTAATAATATGTGTATTTAATAGTGTTTATTTAATAAATGGATTTAATAGAATATGTAATCTTTTTCGTACACAATTACACCTTTTGCTTTAATCGGTATTAATTATTTTAATAAATAGCTAACAATATGCGTGAAAACTGTACCATAAAATAAAATAAACAATAATTAACGCACAGAAATATAATAGCTGAAAATTTTCTGTAATAACAACTCAAGGCTAAGACTCGGGATTAGTTATTCAAGCGTTTAACACTGTTTTGTATATGTTTATCCACACATACTCTCGTGACGAACTTTAAATTAACGTAACAATTTTCTACAAAAGTGATTATCCGATCGTAGGGTATTATACGTTAATGATAAGCTGCTATCGTTTTACTAACAATAAGTGACTTTAAAGAAAAATAAAAAATTCAAGCCGTGCTCGCACGAGCAAACCAGTTCGAGGATTTCGAGGTTAATTCAATCTCTATTACTGGAAATACGAACGTATCTTGAGTCTCAACTTATGAGGAATCGTGAAATTTAGCCGTCAGTTATTACTGAATCCTATACGCGCGGTGAGCCACGTGAGTAAGTATTGTAGGTAACTACGCTTGTGTGTGTGTGTGTGTGTGTGTGTGTGTGTGGTGTGTGTGTGGTGTGTGTGGTGTGTGTGTGGTGTGTGTGGTGTGTGTGTGGTGTGTGTGGTGTGTGTGTGTATGTGTGTGTGTGTGTGTGTGTGTGTGTGTGTGTGTGTGTGTGTGTGTGTGTGTGTGTGTGTGTGTGTGTGTGTGTG